TATCTATTCAAAAATGACTCAATAATATCAAATATTGCTAAAGGAATCAATTATATTTCATAAATTAAATTTTCCAATTTTTCCTCCAAAGAGTCAAAAAATCGACCCGGGCCCGCTTGATCAAAATCTGAGGTTCGGACCAAAATCTTTTTACCCATTCACCTCCGAGCCCGAATATGTAATTAGTTTTGAAATCTGACCTCAAATTGAGGTCTAAATCCCCAAATTTTCGAAATCCCTATTTTCTACCCTAACCCCTAATTCTACCATGAAAACTCTAGATTTTAGGTTGAAAATTCAAGAAATGTAATGGGTAACTGAAAAAAAATGGTTTAGAATCACTTACCAACAATTTGGGGAAGGAATGACTCTTGAAAAATCGCCCCTCACCGTTTGATTTTTGAGAAAAATGGGTTTTTTGGCAAAAATCTCGTTTTGGATTGTATTAAGTGCTGAGCGACAGTGTTCATCGCGTTCGCGAGAGCACTGTCGCGTTCGCGAAGTGTATGGCCTGCCAAGCCTTCGCGTTCGCATAGGCTACCCTTCCTTGGTCTTCGCGTTCGCGAGACATTACTCGTGTTCGCGATGAAGAAAAGGCCGACTCCTTCTCCCTAGTGGCTAACGCTACGCGTTGGCAATGGGCTTGTCGCGTTCGCGAAGGGTAACGCCCCCATCACTTCGCATTCACGACCAAGCCTTCGCGTTCGCGCAGAAGAAATCCTCAGCTGCCCAGTTTACTCTTCACGTTCGCGAGAGTGCCTTCGCGAACACGAAGAATGACATGCCAGAACACAGATTCCGCAGAAAAACCAGATTTCCAAAGTCCAAAGTATCCCGTGGCCTATCCGAAACTCACCCGAACCCTCGGAGCTCCAAACCAAACATGCACACAAGCCTAAAAACATCATACGGACCTGCTCGTGTGATCAAATCGCTAAAATAACACCTAGAACTCTAAATTTAGCACCAACTCAAATGAAATTCTCAAGAATACTTTAAAATTTCTATTTTCTCAACTGGACGTCTGAATCACGTCAAATCAACTTCGTTTTTCACCAAATTTTACAGACATGTCTTAAATATCACAACATACCCAGTATTATCCTACACCGCTGGGTCTGGAGAGGGTAGTGTGTACGCAGACCTTACTCTTACCTTGTGAGAATAGAGAGACTGTTTCCAATAGAGCCTCGACTCAGGAAAATATAAGCACCACATTAATGAAAATATAGACAAGAAAGGATAGTACCAAAAAGTCATATAAAAGCAGAATAAAAACAACAAGCCAGTAAGGTGATCAACAATGGATATGATTAATTTTGACGGACCAATTTTATTTTTACTATGTCTAAGAGAAATTCAAGTAATTTTCATGGGTGGTCATTCAACTCTGTGTTCATTACGCAAAAGTCATTTTTCTTCTTTTTGTTACGTAAAAATCATTCAACTTTGTGTTCATTACTCAAAAGTCACTTTTATTTCTTTTGTTACACAAAAATTATTTTACTTTACTCTATTTATCACAAAAGTCATATTTACCAGATTTTATAATACTTTTACTTGAAAAGTCTATTATGCCTTTGACATTATAAATCCTCTCATTTATGTAACATCTTCTATATTATATATTATTTAATATATTTGTACCTAAGTATTTTACTTATAATTAAAATAATTTTATATTTAATTTATTATTTTTATAATATATCCATACATTTAATCTTTCCATGACACTCAATTTGTTTAATCATATTCAAGCATGAACATATTTTAAATATAAAAAAGATAAAAATATTTATCTTTTAATATTTAATTGAAATAACAAAAATAGATTTTTTAACAAATGATAGTTTTTTAGAGTTAATAAGAATTTTAGAAAAAGTTTCAAAAATATTTGTGTTTAATATTAAGTTTTTTAAAGCTTTATCTGTTAATATTATTTATTTTAAAGTATTAATCCGATGTGTCATTTGTGCTAAATGTAAGTATTTTATTTATTGGATTAATGGGTATGGTTTGGCTGATAAATCAATGACCTTTGATTTTATAATTTTCATTAAGAATGATTAAGAACGTGGACTTGAGATTTGTTCACGACAATGTTATCGACAAATTTAATAATGCTACTTATATATTTTAAAAATTAATATTAAGAAAAAATTAATTGTACGATTATATTATAAAAATAATAAATAAAATAATAGTAAGTTATTTTAATTATAAGTAAAATACCTGGGTAAAAGTATATTATATAACATATAATATAGAAGGTGTTACATAAATGGGGAGATTTATAATGTCAAGGGAATAATAGACTTTTCGGGTAAAAGATTTGTAAAATCTGAGCAAAGTGACTATTGTCATAACTAGAGCATAGTAAAATAATCTTTGTATAATTAAAGAAAGAAAAATAATTTTTAGATAATGAATACAAAATTAAATAACTTTTACGTAACAAAAGAAAGAAAAATGACTTTTGAATAATGAATATAAAGTTGCGTAAAGAAAAATGACTTTTGAATAATGAATACGGTGTGAAGTAGGGAGCGAATGAAGGGCCACCATGTGTAATTGTGTACCTCGGGAGTCCTGACTCATTCAAATAAATGTTATGTCGACAAGTGATTGGTCAGGTCATTAAATTTAATCATCAATTATAATATCACATAATCCAGAAATGGAGAACAAGAACTCAAATTTCCATTGTAGGAACAAATTTGTATTGCTGCAATTAAATTTGTAGTAGCAATTTCACTATTTTCCCCCACTCTCACATGGAATATCACATTGAGAAGTAAATCATTGACTTACAATAACAAGATGGCTATTTTTGTAAAAAATAGTTATCTCAGAGATCATTTTCTATATCACAGACAGAAATACTAAGATCATCCAATTCACTAAATTCACCTAATAAAAATCCATAATTATCAACAATCGGAACCCCCAATTTCAATGAAATATAAACTTCTTTATCATCTGAAATTTGTATCCACTGTCCCTTCAACAACTCTTCAACACTGTTATTCCCAATTTCTTGTTCTTCCCCTGCACTAGAATTATTGCCTTTTCCTTCAACCCCATTTGATGAATCTGAGGTCTTACTCTCAAGTTCAGATTTTTCAGAAATACCCTTGTTTGTTTTTGCAATTTTAGCCATTTTTATTTTTCCCTCAAACTCAAGTTTCTTAGACTGATAAACTTGAGAAGCCTCTTCAGCAGTATTAAAAGTACCCAACCAAATTTTTTTCTTGTTAAATGGTTCTCTAATCTCAGCACAATACTTTCCCCATTTTCTCTTTCGAACCCCAGAAGGCAATTTGCTAGAAAAAGTTGTAGTTTTTACCTTATCTTGAAAAATTTCATGAACAGTGAGCTTTGGCTGCTGCTTTCTAGATGGTCTATTTTCTTGTTCCTCTTCTGAAGATGATGATTCTGTAGCATCTGGGTCTGAGATTTTTATTATTATTTTTCTCTGGATTTTGATTTGTTCATCTTTTCGTTGTTGTTTTTCATTATTTTCTCCGGTAACTTTGGGTTGCGATTTCATGGTCAAAAGTTGAAAAAAGAAAAAGAAAAAGGGAGACTTAGGTAAAAACAAAGATGAGAAGACACATAGGTGGTGCTGAGGTTTAGTGATTTATTCCTTTGAGGAACCATCATTTTTGTAAGTGAACTTTTCTGAGGAGACTTAAAAGCCCACGAAATAAGGAAAAAAAAATATTTTTTGGTTTTTCGGTTGCTTGAAATTTGCATCGATGCCCTAACTAATCAGGATTTAGTCTTGTAAATCCCATTGAAAAAGGGATCGCTTCTTATTTTATAACTCCCAACTCAAAATGATTACTCAAAATTAAAACTCATTCAATGACGGTAAAGGCTTTTAGGTAATTCAGAGTCCGCCATCAATTTATGAAGATGGCATGGATATTAGCACACGAAAAATCAAAAATCGTCTTAACTCTTGTTTTAAGGTCTTAAAATGGCAAAAAACTAGGAACATGAAAAGAAATAAGTATTGTTCATAAGGTCGTTTCTGAGGGTTCCACAAAATTTTAAGCGATTCAGAACCCGTCGCCTGAATTCATCAAGATGACATAGACATTAACACACAAAAAACTATAAATCGCTCTGAATTCTTATTTTATGACCATAAAATGCCAAAATAATGAGGAGTGGTCATGACAAAGCAATGACTATTGTTCATTAGGTCGTTTCTGATGTGCCCACAAAATTTTTAGGCGATAGGAAGCCCGTCGCCCGAATACATGCAGATAGCGTGGACATTAGCACTCGAAAATTTGAAAATCGTCTTAAATTCCTTTTTATAGTCCTAAAACGCCAAAAACGAGGAACGAATATGACGAAAAAATAACTATTATTCATTAGGTCATTTTTTAGGGGCCTACAAAATTTTAGGCGATTCAGACCTCGTCGCCCGAATTCATGAAAATGACGTAGACCTTAGCACACGAAAAATAAAAATTCGTCAAGAATTCCTATTTTATGGCGCTAAAATGCAAAAAACAATAAGGAACAGTCATGGCAAAGCGGTGAGTATTGTTCATATCTGATATGCCATAAAATTTTAGGTGATTCGGAGCCCGTCGCCCGAATTCATGAAGATGGCATGTACATTAGCATATGAAAATTTTGAAATCGTCCTAAATTCTTGTTTTATGGTCCTAAAATGCTAAAAAATAAGGAACAATCATGGTGAAACAATGTTGTTCATTAGATCGTTTATAATAGGCCTACAAAATTTTAGGCAATTCGGAGCCCGTCGTCCGAATTCATGAAGATGACGTGGACATTAGCACGGGGTGTACATAGGTCGGGTTGGTTTGAATTTTTCAATTATCAAACCATACCAATGGTGTTGGGGTTTTAAATTTATAAACCAAACCAAACCAATAAAGTCGGATTTTTCAATCTCGGGTTTTTTGGAATTTTTTGGGTTTTCGGGGTTTTTTCGGTAAAGTCTTCATAGCATAAAATATGTAACTTGTGCTCCAAATATTTTTTAAGTCCTAGTAAAATACAACTATATAATGTGTTTTCCTAGAAACTAACACAATAATATGAGATAAGTCATAACATTATACTAAAATATTCAATAACAAAGATAAAATAATAAAATTTCTGTTGATACCCAATTTCTCTCATATTTTTAAAATATATATATAATTTCAAAATAGTATATTTGTATTATCATTTAGTTTATAAACCTATACAAGCTTTTTTTCATAATTTTTCATAATTTTTAAAGGCTTTAAATCAATTTCTTTCTACATTTTATTGTATAAATATCCAATAATTATCCTTCAAATTATTTTTATAATGATTTAATCATGCAAACTTATCATTTACACCAACATATATATTTTTAAATATTGTACTGTATTTTTTATAATTATATTTGTATTTTTAAGCTAATTGCATATTTTTATAATAATAGCCTATATTCATGTATAATTATATTATTTATGCAAAAAATAACTTTTTATATTTTTATAATGCAAGTTATTAGTTTAATCATTTTAGTTCACAAATAATATTTTTGTTATTTATTAATTACTTTTATAAATTATTATTTTTGCTAAAATATTGGGTATTTAAAAACTAGCCCACTCTTGAACTTATTTTCGGACCAAACAAAGGCCCAAAGCCTAATACACTATACCAAACAACCACCAGCCCAAATCAAATTAACCCAACCCCTAACCCGATCGCGACCCATTTATAATAACCCGACCCAACTACTCTTTAATCGTGGCCGTTGATCTATGAGATCAACGATCCATATAAAACCCTCCCCTTTAAACTAACCCAAACCCCAACCCTAATCCCATTCTCCCCCGTCTGCCGCCCTAATATCCCTCACCTCCCTTCTCCCTCCTAAGAACCCTAGCCGCCGCCCCCTAAATCCTCTCATAATCCCGTCTAATATGGGATTCTATGGCTACTACTTGCCATATATGACCTCCTCCGGGTATTGGTTACTCTCCTATACTGCTTGCCTAAACATGGCAAGAAGATCTCCATAAGATCGAACCAAAATAGGTTCAAATCACTGATCTTTCTGTTATTCTGTCTATGTTCATCCTTTGTTCTATTGTGAGTACAAATATTTGTGCATTTTTGTTGATTCTTATTTTTCCTAAAACAACTAGGGTTTATAAATCTGTTCAAATCGAACCAAAATTGGTTTGATTCTCTGATTTTGAGTATTATTTGTGTCTATATTCGTCCTATGCTACCGTTTCTGTGTATATTCCGTTGATATTTATTTTTCCTAAAAGAAAAAAACTAGAGTTTATCGGCTTATTCTCCTAATTTGATTTTAAATTGATTTATGTGTTCTTCTTTCCTTTTATGGGTTGATTGTTTATATTTTCTTACTTATGTGCTGATTTTTACCACTATATAAACCCATTCCCTTTCCCCTTTTTGAACAGACAAAATGTCACTAAAAATTCTCACTAAAAATTGAGGTTTCTACTCTATATTTGTTTACTATTTTGTTCTGTTTGGCTCTTGGCCGGCTGAAAGCCAAGGCCACCGGATTTCCACTTTTCTGACCATCTCTTGGGTGTGAGCACTACCCTGGGTTCTTGAAACCCTTTGGGAACTTGACACATTTGAGACTCTGGGTCCTTACTGCTGTTCTTTTCTTATTTATTAAACAATCACTAGTTAGTTTCTAAACCCTCACAATGTTTATTCTCTTATGTTAGCATGTTCTTTGAAACTGCACAACTTAATGTATTCCCTTGACTCTCTTTATGTGTGATTCTGCCTATAATTGTTAGCCTAATAATATCTTTGCACCTAACTTAGTTAATTTAGACAGAATGAAGCATGTTTAGTTTGGTATTGTTGATAATTCGAATATTCTGCCTTGATTATATGGTTTAATCCATGATTCTCTGCCTAATTCTGAACTTTTAATGATTAATTGATGTAATTAGCATACCTTAACTTGTTTAAGACCTTACTCTAAGTGTAGTATGCTCCTATGACTATGGTTTCCACTATATGTGTTCTTGCCATGTCCAATTCTGCACCTCTAACAACCTGTTATCCTTTAAACTAATCCTCTTTGACTGATACCCTCTACGGTATCTAATTCTATTTGTATTATACTGTGTAATCCTGAGTTTGGAATAATCCGATCCTTTAAGTTCTACACTGGTTGTATTACTTGGTTTTACTAGTCTAATCCCCTTGCAATCCCAGGCTCCTTGTTCCTTATCATATGTCACCCTGCCCAGTGTGTTAATTTGCTTTTGGAGTTCATTATATGATTATCTTACAAGTTTGCAAATGTTTTCCAAACCTATTACCCTACTCTTATTTTCACTGGTTGTTTCTTGTTTAATTCTGGGGCTGGCTGAAAGCCAAAGCCCTTCCCCTAAGTCTCCTCTATCAACCTCCCTAGTGTGAGCACTGCCCTAGGTTCTTGAAGCCCTTGGGAACTCTGACACACTATGGTCCAAGATTCTTTGCCACCTTTTTCCTAATTGCTCAACTTTGTCCCCTCTTCTCACTTGCTGGATAAACCAGTTGGTTTGTGTAAATGGCTATACCTCTGGGACTTTTGATGGCTACTGGATGTGGGCTATTTTGTGTGAATGGAGATTGTTTCTGGGTTGTTTGTGAAACTGTGTTGAAGGCCTAGCTAGGCTAGGTATACATTGGGCCTGCCTTAGGCCCACTATAGCTATTCTGTAATTCTGTAATTTATTTCACTCACTAGGCTTGTAATAATATTATATTAATAATTAGGGTGTTAGTAAAATTGGGAAAAATATTTGCATGAAACGGGTAGAAATCCTGCCTATAGGTATTTACTTTGCTCGAACATGTTCTGCTATTGTGTGTGTTAGATAACCTTCCTATAGGTATTTAATTCGTTTAACATATTATGTTTCTACTTGCTAGATGTCCTGCTTATAGAAAATAAAATGACCAATGTCTCAATGTACATTACAGTATATTCATTAGGTGCTACGACCATAGAGTTCTGTTAATTTATGTTCTACCAAATCTGCATTTTAGAAATCATACCTATAGGGTTTAATTGGTTAATGTGTTATTGTTATAATTTCTCATTTAGGAAACATGCCTATAGGAGCTAAAATCAGTTTCAATCGCTAATCATAGAAATATTGCTTTAAGTGCTAATATTGAACTTTCAAACACTGTTTCATTGCTTAACTCTGTCGCTATTAGAAAGCATGCCTATTGGATCAAACTGGGTAATTCTGAGTATTTTTAATAGTTATCACTGCCAACTACTGCGCAAATCACCTAGAAATCATGTCTATAGGTTTAACCACTTGTAATCTGTAATTTCAACAATCATCTTGCAATACCAGATTCCCTAAAATGTATAGTTGTTCAGAAATCATGTATATAAATATAGCATCTTGATCTGAAACTGCCTGCATGTTCGAATACCAAGGTCACATAGAAACCATGTCTATAGGGCCTAATGGCTTTAATTTGCCTCAATCCTGAAATTGTCTAACGTTTAATATGAAAATT